GACTCAGCCCCACCTCACCACACAGTAACATTTCTCTTTCATCACAAGAAAAGTACATTTCTACCCCACCAGCAAGTAGAACCCCAGCCTCACCTTCAGTTACTAGTTTGTCCCCATCTCCTGGGTGTTCACCTATCTTTTGCATGAATAACGCTGCATCGCCTGAAATAAGAATCACAGCTTCTTCTCCTGAATTAGAAAACAAATCTTCATCTGAGACAGAGGTTCCTGCTTCACCTCAAATCACAAATATATCTTATTCTGTTGTTCAAGCTCATCAGCCTTCTCCTACTTTTTCAGAAGAACGTTGTCTTTCCGGCTCACCGATACCAGAAGGTTATAGTAGAAGCAGATACTCTTCCACCAGTTCACTTCTGTCTGAACTGCTATCAGAACAGAATTTTGAAGACAGGCAAACAATAAATTTGAAAACACCATCCCCTGAAACAATAAATCAAAGTCCTTTACATTTTCCAAGTCTTTCACCCCCCTCCAGTTGTGATTTATCGGCAGCTTCTCAAGCTGTTGAACCCTTATCAAAAACACCAACAGAAAACAAGTTGGACTGTTGTACTTTTGAATACACATCTGTGAATCAACAAAACATTCAATCTTTAATTAAGGCTGCAGTAGCTGAAGAGTCTACTCCGGTACCATCATCACGTGAATCCATTATTGAAGACACTGATGAAGTTATAACTACATTCAGCGTTTCTCCAAACCTCTCTCTTCCCATTGTGCCTTTTTCGGAATCTGAGAAGACCGACATAACAAGCAAAACTGTCAAGTTAGCCTTCGATTCAAACTCTGCAGAAGAAGATCTTTGTTATATTCCAGGGAATCCTTGTTTGAAGAAATCTCCCATTGTGGTGAACTATCCTATAACTGCACCTGTATTATCTGCCAACTACAAAGACATTTTACCAGCACCCAAGGAAATTATTGCTGTTACAGTTAAAACAATAGAAAATACGCAACCTCAACTTAATAGTTATTTTCCGAAAAGTAATCACACATTCAATACAAAATTGACTCCAAAGCCTTTTAGTAGGCAGCAGTCAGAGACAGTTGCATTGGAAAGTAAAGGTAATTTAGGTGAGAACATGGCCTGCCATATAAAGAAGAGAAGGACACCTTCGCCACCTATCACCAGGTTTACACCTGTCCACATAATTGCCCCTGAAAAGCCCTACAGACAGTGGCAAGCCAGAGGCCGCAGTCCCTCACAAGTTACAACATTGCGACCCAGTGATAATTTAAAGAAAGTGTTGACAAATACGGAAATCCCCCATCTTGACCCTGTTAATAATAGCCAAGAAGATAGGTTTAGAAATAGAAAGCCACAGGAGATAGAAAGTGGACTGCAGCTGCAGGAGAGTGCGATAGATCAAGAGCTGGACTGTGAGGTGTACAAAGAGAGAAAGGGGGAGGAGCATATCACAAAACAGGGCAAAGGAGGGCTTGGGGATGCCATTTCCAGAGAGGAACAGGTTGAGCTGTCATTCAATGCCAAGAATAGAAATGGCCCCATGAGTCGCAGCACTGCTCACACAGGCAGAGATGCAGGTCCTGGTCTGCCAACAGCGCATTCCTACTCGGAAAACCAGCTCACCAGACAGTCAAAGCAACAACAGACTGCACACAGGCTTTCTTCTCAACCAGAATCTAAGTGTGGACGACTTAGAAGACGACTTCAGCCACCCGTAAATCAGCACAAGAGCACTGCTTCTGTACGCGCAGCCACAAACAAGCCGGGGAGGAGTTCGAGCTCCAGCATGGGCAGTGAGCTTGATGAGGCAGACCACGAAGTCAAGTGGTTTACAGACGTGGCCTTTAGCAGCCTATCAAGCCCTGAGATAGACTACCTGGATATGTACAACTCAAGCCATCGCTCCTCTACCAATGTTTCTCAACCATCTACCCAGGACAGCCCAGCTGGGATCAATACACCTTGGCTGTCTTATGCTGACTTTAGGGGCTCTACCCAACTCTTAGACAATGATGAACTTTCACTGGAACAATCATGTGCCTACTTTTCAGATGGACTGGATCCTTCCAAGTGCTATGAGTTGGTCAACTTTGAGTGTGTGGATGTTGCTGTTGAAAAAGAGGACACTAAAAAAGTCAGAAGAGGCGTACCAAAAAGACAGATCCAGCTAAAGAGGAGAGACACGACTGAATCCAAACAAGATGAAAGCAGTGAGAACAGTAGTCCTGGCATTCCACTGCTAGATAACCTTTTTTTAGATACTTTTCCAAGAGAGACTCTATTAAGGCAACATTCTACCCCAGGTCCCTCTCGGGATCCTGAGATTTATGAAGATAGCCCTGCTCTTGACCAACGTTTAACGAAATCTAAGCTTAAGAAATCATCTTCATTGGACGAATCAAGTTCCAAGACAAAAATGGCCACATGTCTTATTAAGAGCATCTTGACCAAAAAGATGCAGAGTGATGAGCTAGTTGCAGGAGAAGAACCTTCTGATTTGGATGAAATCATGCCCACAAAAACAGATTCTTCAAAACCTCCAAAACCTGACATGCAACTTTTGAGTTCCAGTCTACAATCAGACTGTAGTCTCTTATCGGATAACTATGGAGGTAGAAATGACACAAATATGAAGGACGAAGTTGGGCGACAGAAAAATCTCAAAGGGAAGTTAAGTCACAGACCAAGTTCAACCAATAGTAACAGAAGTGTAACTTTTTCAATAGCTGACAGTGAGGAGAACGAAGCTGAGACCAAAACAGCAATATTAAAATCAGAATTCAAACAAACATCGTATGAAGACTTTTCTGATCAGGTGTGGAAGGAAACCGAGCATGAAGACTCAACAAATAACACTCACGGTAACTCAGATCCTTCTGCAGAGGCCTTGTGTACTGGACATGACACAAGGACAAACACAGGAGAACAGGAATATGAAAAGGGCCATACAGAAGAGCAAAAAGGTGTTCTTTCCTACAAGTCAAAAAGCCCAAATAGTCTTTCCATATCCTTGTTAGAAAAGAAGAAGGCCTCCCTCAATGTTTGTCTTACACCTGAAGCTGATGAAAATGAGAAAGTGGGAGATTGTGTTAAAGATCAAATAGAAGATGACATAATAGATGACAAAATCAAGGGGCCCATACACAAAGTTAGAGATGTGAGGCGAATTGTAAAGAATACATACAATCTCTCTTTTCAGGCAGCCAGTGCTTTTCCACCAGATGAGACTAACATCTTTAACCAGGAACTATCAAAAAAAGAAAATAATGAAGTTCCACAAAAGGAGATTGAGGGACAAGAGATGAAGGATAAAGAAGCAATAGAGGTAAAAATGGAAACTAAAGACGGTCACATTAAAGTAACAGATGCAATAAATATTCCGCAGAAAGAACAAGTACCTTATTCACAGCCAATGCAAATAGAATACAAGGCTGTTTGCTGGAAAGAAGATAAAAACAAAGCTGCAACAAACAAGAAGATGATAATTGATCCACAGCCTAATACAGAGACCGTAATGATGAGCGATACGAAGACAAAAACTCAAGACGGTAGTGATATTCTGAATGAATTAACTGCAGTAGCTGAAAAATCACAACAATCATTGATGCACCAAAATGCAGATCGGCCAGTCCCCAAAATGCCAAATAAAGAAAGGGAAGTGTCTACTGCTATAGTGTTAATACGTGACAACAGCAAGTCTAAGAGGTCTGCTTCACCATCTCCACAGGAGTTTCCAGCCACTGGTCCAGCCTCATCCACTGGGATTTCTAGTACTTCTGGCAGCTCTGCACACTCTGTTTCAATGTTACTGAAAGAAAAAGGCTACCAAGCGGATATTGGCGCAGTTGTGGGAGAGGGTCAAACTAATAAAAATGCTCCATCTAAACATGTGAATAGCTTAGAGATTCCTCTGCAGACTCCAACAGAATCCCACAGAGTGAGAACATTCTCCTCTTCATCAACGGGATCAACAGTGATGCCAGGCAACGCTGAAACCAAAACCATAGAAGCGGTCAGACTTGATTCAACAATGAAAGTACACCATTTGCCACCAAAATCTTCTGCAGAGCAAAATCCTGCTAACAAACAAGGATCACAAGGAGATTTTGAATCTTTAAAAAGATCAGATCCCACATTCCCTCCAAGATCTCCTGCTGTAAGGAGATTCAAACCACAGTCAATAGAAGTCAAGTCAATGTCCAAAGAAGCAAACAAGCCAGAGGCAAACCAAACTAACTTAGGAAACAGCAGCAGATCTCAGGCCATTGAGGTTAAGTCAGTAGCTAAAAATTCCCAAAAACCAATTGTTCCACCAAAACCTAACTGCAAGTTTAAACCTCTAGATTTTGGAGCAATTCCAAGTGAAGCACAGCGAGTGCCCCCTGCATCCTCAAAATCACACACAGAAGACAGATCACAAACAATCGTTGTGTCTTCGCCAACTATTTATAGGAAGATTCCCAATGACTCCACTTCAAATTACACAAGAAAGGTGGCTGTGTCCTCAGTGTCTAGCCTTAAACCTCCAACAAGCAAACCAACAGCTCCCTCTAATGTCTCAGTACAGCCCCCGCTGTCAGAAATGGATGCAGAGACAGACAGACAGCAGCATCCAGGGCCAACCTCACAGAACTCCAGATATACACAAAGGCATTCTACTTTACCTCCAGCCCCTACAAACAATAGTGGCCCATCCATTTCCTCATCTGTGCCTTTTGATGCAACAGGACACCCGCATCAAGCAACAGCCCAGACAGGACCCATGCAGTCCAGGATGCCACATCCTCATGAATCAGGAACAATGAACACCTCAGATGATGAACAATCTGCTCCTGTTTCCACAACACAAAGTTCAGGATATATCCGTCAGAGTTTTCGTCGATCCCTGTCAAATGAATGCTCCCAAAAACGGAATAACATGCACTTCTATGCCTCTGATGACCCACCAAGCTATGATGACAGAGAGAGCTTTAGTCCTCTCAGGCTGCCAGATTTACCTCCAAGATCTAACCGCTATCAAGCTTCATCTCGTGCTCCTCCATGTTCCTGCACAGCTGCCTGCCCCTCACACCCAGGCCTGCCTCATCCTCACAGCAGCCCACACAATCTAACCCCACCTGGCCCAACACTCTCTCCAGGTCATTACGCACCCCAGCCTGCCACTCGGCCTCACCAGCAACCAGTGGCATACCAGACTAGTTCTCCCAAGGCTAACCCCCTTGGCCCTGGTCCCCCACAAGGACTATACCAGCCTCTACTCCAGCCTTCTGCATGCCCTTCTCACTCGTCACTTATGCATGCTTACTCTGCTGAGAGGCCTCTCCCGCCAGCCCAACATATGGATCCTCGAAGACCTGCAGTACACCGCTCCCCTCAGCAGGCTCCAGCTGCCATACCTGCGGCCCCCTACCCAGACCAAGGTCACAACCATTCACCAGGTCTTCCTCACATGGACCCACACTACCTGTGTACTCCTCATAGCCTGGGGCCATCATATGGCTCAGACTATGGAGGTGACAGCTCCAGTATTTACACTGAGAGCAACTATGGGCAAACGCCTCGCCGCGTGCTAATGGATCCTGAAACGGGGAAGTATTTTTATATTGAGGTCCCCGTCCAACCCCTGAGAAAGATGCTGTTTGACCCTGAGACGGGTCAATATGTTGAAGTTCTGATCCCTCAGCAGGCTATGTCCCACTCAGGCTTGTATCCACCCTCATCAGCGAATTATCCCCCTTTGCACAACACCAACATGTATGCCCCAGCACCTCAGTACATGCCCTATGCAGCGCCTCCTCCCCAGTCTCAACCACCGCGTTACCCTGAGTCTTCGGCCACAGCTACCATGCATCCACACGGGCCTGGCGTGGGCTACAGGAATCCCTCTGGTCAGGGATCCAAATTAGAGAACCAGGGCCACCCACCAGTGGACCCAAACTACTTGGAGAGCATGTACTATGTGCCCACGGGAATGAATGCAAGCCCTAATCCCACCCCTCCTGAGTATTACCACAAACACCCCTCTATGCACCCCAATAGTGGGAGCAAACGCTCCTGAAATAGAGGCCGCCCTCCTGGAGCCTCCAGAGTTTAAAATACTTCAGGGTGCAGAGGGTCTTTCTAATTTTAGCTTGCAGGGTTTTGTTTTTTAGTTTAATAACAAAGAGAGATATTTGGAATGTGATTTGGTGCTGCTTCGTAATATGCTGCTTGGAGAAACTCTACTTCTCCAACTTCTTTTGAGTTGACGGTTTAAAATGTATACAATTTTGTTTTGTTTTTTTCTATGAAGCATACTTACAAGAATTTTTCACAATTATTACTGCGCAGGCACTGTTAATATTTGTTAATCAGATATATTGCCAAAAACTTGAAAACACTATTGAATGTCTTGAATTATTTGTACTGCATTGTCGGAGTGACACCTGATGTTTGCAAAAAAATGTTAATAAATGAAACATGATTGTTACAACTTGTCTCAACTTCTACTTAATAATATTATCTATTATCAAGTGTATAGTACAATATATAAAAGTAAAGTTAATGTATTGAATTGTTTTTCTAAACACGGCAATGTAACACATGAAACACAGGCAAAATAAATCCATGAGATGGCGCCAGAGACCAGAAAGTTGTAGTCAAAACCAGTGGACCTGAACCATTTTACTTGCACAACATATGTGACCCCCAATACAAAAGCAAATATTGAAAATAATATATTAACTTGCTATTTGATTTTCATTTGTGGAGACCACCAACAATGTGTGTAGGCTATATGTCAGGTCAGGCCTTGTTTGGGACTGTTTCAATCATTTTAAAGTTTTCTTCAGTGTGGGAAGGCTTTGTGACTATGTATATCAAGTGAGCAGATTTTTTAAGTAATCATAGGCCTACTTTTTATATAGTAAATGTTTGAATTTCTCAAACTTGGATTTCTCAAATTTTATCTGTCTCTTCTCATTTCTAAATTAACAAACTCACATTTACAATGACAATGAACTTATTCTGAAAGTGGTATTTCCAGGACCTATGTTTTTGGTGGTAAAGAAATGCTATTGATTGCATGTTTGGTTCTTGAACTTTTAATTGGATAATAAAAGTACAAAAAAAATATTTTTGTAGACAGCACTATTTTCTAAGTGGAAGATTTTTATTTGTATTATGTGTTTGTTTTTATTTTTATCATTGAGCTATTTCTACTACTATCCAGTCATTTTCCAATCGGACAGAAAATAGTCGGAGAAAACATCTTTAATTTCAAAAATATGGGATTTCTGGACGTTTATTGCTTAGTTTATTTTATTTGTTTGAATTAGGACGGTGCATATCTGTCAGCAAGTTGCTTCAGCATATGTAGAATCCAAATCACTATACTTTTCAAACCTGAATGAGACTACACAGGTTAATGCAATATCCCTGTTTGTTGTAACAAAGTTAATGCATGTTGTGTTCTAGTTCCTTTTTTGGCATGCATAGGAGAGCCTTCTCCAGCCTTCTTCCCCACAGCCTTCTTCCCCACACCCTGAGTAGGAGGTAGTGCCTCTGATGTCCAACTTGTTGATGGATTGTGGAAAAGTCTTTGCTTCCAGTTGTATTATCAAGAGTGTGGGTGGCAAAAGTGACAAGATAAAAGAAGACAATGAGAGATAAATGATACATACATCAAATTATCTGTTTGTTTTCTAACCCCTTCCTTTCTGGTACCATGACTCATGCGTGCAAAACTTCAGTTGAATTTGTGTAATGAGAAAATAAGTCTTTTCTGTTTATAATACCAACGCAAAGTTACTTTTGAAGTGATGGAATATTAAACATTTGTAGTTTTCTCTAATAATTACTTATCAATAACATTCGTGCAGAATGGCCCTCATTTTTTATTTGTGAGCTCCCACAGTGTTGATTAATCAAAATTAAGGACCAAATTTTGGATAAAAATAAAGGATGCTTTTGATCATTCATAAGAAATGTCAGCAAGATATGTGACACAGACTTATACATACATAGACATACATACATAGACACCATAAGGACACGCATACATTGATAGATTTGTATAAATGAATAAAAATGCTAACTATGTTAAATACTTTAACAAGATTGACTCCCAAACACACTGCAGGTTCTGTTAATTCATAAGAATGGGAAGTCACAATTGCCTGAATGATCCATCACCTTCAGAATCAACAACAATATGCGATTGGAATTGGAAAAATAATAAATCATAGAATCATAAAATTGGACACATTCATAAACCATTACAAGACAAGTTAATAGTGACTTAACTAAAAAGCTACTACAAGAACAATCTTTGAGTCCAGTGTCTGTTGGAGTTTTGCTCAAATTTCGTTCATAATTTTTGCCTAGTGTATGGCAGCAGTAGTATTCTGATTATATACTAGTTATATACTAGTAGTAGAAGGCAAGGCAAAGCAAGGCAAGTTTATTTGTATAGCACAGTTCATACACAAAGCAACTGAAATTGCTGAACAAAATAAGATAATCACAGTACATAAAAAAATATATATATATAATCCCTCCGTTGTTTGCACAGCTAAACAAAACTGTTTTTAACCTGGTTTTAAACATTGTCAGAGAGGACTGTTCAATGCTTATAAAACTATGATTTGTGAAAATATATAGTATCATACATTATTTATTCACTAAATTCAGTTCATATTTGGGTCATGGCTTGACGTTCAAGGTGATACGTTTTGTATCTGCAGAATTGGAACTTACTGGGTGAATATTAATCCCCCAAAAATGAAAGAAATTCTTCACACTCTGTTTTAGTACCTTGATCAAAAAAGTCAGTGTGGCCCATGCCATATTTATTATATCATTTTTGTTACTGGATAAATTATATTTGATAGTCAGCGTTTTACAAACTATATCATATTAAAACAAGAATGCCCTAAAGCCTTACAGTCTTTCTTATTTTTAAGCAATCATTTTCATCGTGGTTGTTTTGTTTTTATCGTTCCACATTTAAATATTTATTTGAGAAAATTAGCCTATTATACCGTCAATGCAATGCAATTTGCGAAGTTAGTGATAGTTCATTGTTAAAATTAAATTATCTCATAACAGTGCCATATTAAAAAAGGATAATAAGCCCCAGATGTGCCATTCAAACATTGCTTAAAGTGGGAATGAAGGTGTGTGTTTACTATACCTGCCTCAGCATGCCCATATTAAGGCATACATCCGAGTGGAAGTGGGTGAGTCTGTCAAAGCTAAGGGAAAGACTCCTGAGAGCCAAGACTTCCTAATTTCACCTGTAGCCTAGTAACTGTTGAAACACTGGCTCTTGTTGCAGCATGTTCACTTTACTCCACCAGATGGTGTGTACAGGTAACATCACCAGCATGATTCAGTCACAGTTACTTTAACACCTGTGTTGTTGTCATTGGTCCGAAACAGATGTGCTCTCAATTGCTTTCGGGGCACACAACCAGACTTTATATGGTGTCAATTCACACCTGAACAGTATTTCATTTCAAGTGTTGAGGCTTGAAATAAGTTTGATATTACCACAAAAAGATGAGTAATAAATGTAAATTCTATCATTTTGGTGACTCAGCCATTTCATTTGCTTCATTAGTTCTAAGACAAGTGATATAATAATAATAAGGATGCAAAGTTTTTATATAGCGCTTTTTTGATACTAAAAGACGCTTTAAATCAATCAATCAAGTGATTGATTGAATTATTCATTCACTCCATACATGGTAGTGATAAACTACTACTGTAGCCACAGTTGCCCTGGGGCACACTGACAGAAGCGAGGCAACCAGTATGTGCCATCGGCCCTTCCGCTCACCACCAACCATTCACACACACACCAGACTCATTCTAGGCAATGGGGGTGAAGTGTCTTGCCAAGGACACAACAACAGCAGACATCGCTCAAACCCACGACCCACGACTCAAAGACCAATGCTCTACCAACTGAGCCACTGTCGCCTCCATGTAAATTGTAGGACTGGTCAGCCTTAATGTCTAGAGAGAATTTCCCGTATGATTTCATTTAGTGATAACTGTGAGTCTAGACATGTCTAAAGGAAATTATTGCTCCTAAATTGAGGCTTTCCCCAACCCATCATACACGGAACGCACTCACATAAACAGTCTGCATTATCCTGTCATGGGAATGAGGTAGCCACAGATGAGGTCACTGCCTGATCACTTTACCCGCCGTCGCCGACAATCAATGAGGGATGGAAAGAATGAGAGCGAGTGCATGTCAGATCTTTACTACCACCATCTTGGATCACTATGAGCAGATAACAAATTCTTATTAATATCATATCATGTTTGTCTCTACTTTTTTTAAATTCCACACATTGGGTTGGACAGCACCATTATAGAAAGTTCCGTGCTGTGGGGTAAAGGTCTGCATGGTGTCAGTAGATTGCTTAAGTGTGAGGTAAAAGTAATGAGTCACCCAGAGGTGGCTTGAACATTACATCAGGCAGTCCCCAGTTTAATAATACCACTATTAGACTTTGAACGACAGGCAAGTGACGGATTTTAATGACCAAGCACATTTTTAGGTCAAACGGACATAGTACTGTTTGACCTTTATTAAAGCTGCACTCAAAAAAAAAAGGCAGTATTCAGATGTTATTATTATTAAACACTATTAACAGTATTATTCAATACTTGTATAACAATAATTTGTAACAAAAAAATAATATTATTATACATTATTTAAATTCAGTTCTTACTTGAGTCATGGCTTGACGTTATATGTTGGAGGTGGCTCCTGACATGTTACAGTTAAGAATCAAGCATTGCCCGTCATGTGGCTCCAAAGTTGCTGCATCTGCAGAATTGGGACTTGAAAAATTCAATGCAGTTAGACAAACTAGCCCATGCTCGCCACACTGCTTCTGGAATAGATGACACAAACAAGACCATTCCCATTTGTTTAATTATTCTCCTACAGCAAATGTCACTGGTGAGGCCCTGGTGGTCAAACAATATAATGCAACCTGCGGAAATTCAGTCTGATAGGCTGCTGCCTGGTACCTGATGCAGCCCATCCAAGCCGGCCCC